TGCCTGCCCAGGACCTTCTGGCTTTCATTGTTTCTATTGAGAAGTCGGGTATAATTCTGATAGGTTTGCCTTTATATGTTACTTGGCCTTTTTCCTTTGCAGCTCTCAATATTCTTTCTTTATTCTGTATGTTTGGTGTTTTGATTATTATGGGCGAGGGGACTTTCTTTTTTTGGTCCAGTCTATTTGGTGTTCTGTAAGCTTCATGTACTTTCATAGGCCTGTCCTTCTTTAGGCTGGTAAAGTTTTCTTCTATAATTCTGTTGAATATGTTTTCTGTGCTTTTGAACTATACTTCTCCTTCTTCTATTTCTATTATTCTTAGGTTCAGTCATTTCATAGTATTCCAGATTTTCTGGATATTTTGTGCTAAGAATTTGTTGGATTTAACAATTTTTTTTTTGCCCAATGAAATCTATATCCTCTATCATATCTCCAACACCTGAGATTCTCTCTTCCATCTCTTATATTCTGCTGTTTATGCTTGCATCTGTAGTTCCAGTTTTTCCATTTCCAGAGTTCCCTCAGTTTGTGTTTTCTTTAGTGCCTCTATTTCAGTTTTCAAGTATGGAACTGTTTCCTTCACCTGTCTGATTGCTTTTTCTTGGTTCTCTTTTAGGGATTTTTTTTTTTTTTATTTCATCCAATGTTTTGTGTTTTCCTCCATTTCTTTAAGGGAATTTTTCATTTCCTCTTTAAGGGCCTCAATCATCATCACAAAGTTATTTTTAAGGTTGTTTTCTTTGCTTCATCTGCATTGGGATGTTGAAGTCTTGCTGTTGTAGAACCACTAGTTTCTCAAGGTGCTATATTGTTCTTTGTGTTGTTTAGTGTATTTTTACATTGTTGTCCACCCATTTCTTCAGGTAAAGGAAGAGTAGAGCCTCCAGTGATAGCTCCTCTAGGTGCAGGCGAGGCTGGGGCTGAGGTTCCAGTGGTCGGATAGTTTATAAATGCCTCTGCTGTAGCATGGTCCAAGGAGCTCAGAGTCTCCCAGTCCTGGAGGCCTGGCCCAGCCCATAGCGTTCCTGCTCTCCAATAATAAATTCCTATTCTCAACTCCTAAGTCTGATATACTTTTAGAACTAACATCATAGTCATTTTAAGGCAAAACTATATCATTATTATTTATTATCTAGTTTAGAATCTAAACTAACTAAAAATAACTGTGTAGCCAGCAAAGACTCCCTTTGCCATGTTCACAATAAATGCTAGTCCAGATGAGCATCCAGACCAGGCAGAGTGGGCAGCCTTGACAAGAGGGGCAGCACAGTGTGCTGTCTGACAATTCGGTATGCTGTAAAATAATCCTTCTGTATACTGTGTGAATATATGCCACTATGATTGTTTTAATAAAGAAGCTGACTGGCCAATAGCTGAACAGGATACAGCTAGGCGGGAAAGCCAAACTGAGAATGATGGGATGAGGAAGGGTGGACTCAGAGAAGCAGGACATGATGATACTGTATTGAAAGAAGGTAGATAAGGAATACGGGTTAACTTAAAATGTAAGAGCTAGTTAGCAATAAGCCTGATCTGTTGGTTGAGCATTTTTTAATTAATATAAGCCTCAGTGTGTTTATGTGAGAGTGACTGCAGGACAGGAAAGCTCCGCCTACACCAGTGTATGAACATGGTGCTGAAGCTGTCAGGGCGAGAATCTTGATTTTACTATTGGCCAGATGTGTCACTGGGTGAGTCATTTCCCTTCCTGCTCTTACTCCCTCACTGCTAAGACAGAGGTGATGCTCATTGTGAGACCAAGCTCAGATATGTGGAGCATCAGAACAAGTGCTAGGTGCAAAGCAAATGCTGTCACCATATCCTTCAACTAGACATAACCACACTAAGATAAGACAAAATATCTCAGTGCCTTACAGCAAGAAAAAAATACTAATTTTATTCAACTAAACTGACTTTATTAAAATTTAAGTTCTAAGATCACAGTTTCCTTCTTTTTCATAATATTAAAATGTTATCAGCTCTGAAATGGCAATAGGCAAACAGTAGCTCAAAAATATCCTTACTGCACACACACACTTCAGTGGCAGTATACGCCATGGTCCCTATGGATTTTTGTTACTTCTGTGTTTCTTTTTAGGGTCTCATAAAGTCTAAAAGTTTAGGACTCATTTTTTTTCTTTATTACATAAAACCACATTAAAAGGATAACACATTTAAGTAACTGGAAAAACTCTTGTTAAAATATTCATTTATCTAGTTAATTCATCTATCTTGTAAAATATTCAGCCCATTTAGCTTCTGAATTCTAAATCAAAAATAAGCAATATACTAAAAATTGTTTTTAGAATTGATTATGTTGTTGATCTTAAAAATAATTAAATGTATGACCTACCATTTAATAATAAAATTTACCATTTTTATTCTAAATGGTTTTCTAATAGGCATTCTTTTTCTAAGCACAGACTTACATACCTATCCCCAACTCTGACTTAAAGGTCTTCTAGCAAGCACTGGCACCATTTCTTAAAAATATAGGTTCCCATCATGATAAAATCAGGTAGCAGTAGCCATTACACTAATGCATTTGTTTCTTTTATCTGGAATCAACTTTCTAAACATTTCAGTCACTTTCATATTAGCAATTTAATTTAAACATCACCAAGTATAAATTCAGCATTATTTAAAAAGAAAAGACCTGGTATCTATAGATGGGGAGAGTTCAACATTAAATAAGAAGTACAGTTAAATTTCCTCTTTCAACCATGGTTTATTGAGGCGAGAGAAAGGGGTGCTTTCTGTTTTTAGTAGCATGAAGCTGCTGCCGTTACCTGAGCATGCTGGCTTTGTGCAAGCTCCTCTTTCCTGCGTTTCATGAGCTCTTTTCTCAGCTCTTTGGGTGCTCTCTCCACTTCATTTATAACCTACAGTGTATAAGCATGCAGGAGGTGGGGAAATAATACTTTCTCCACAGAAAGCACATGCATATGTGAGCAGAAAGCTACAAGTCAAAATTAAAGTTGTTTAAAGATTCCTTTCAACCTGTATTAGCATAAGTGTTAGTTGGTAGAAAAGAATAAAAAGACAGAGCATGCTTAATCTCAGTGCAGAAAGGGACATTGCAGCACACAAAGGCTCATTCATTGCTAGATTATCCCCACGGACCAATCAGTGAAGGAGTGCTCACAGCACCAGGGCTGAGGACCAATCAGTGAAGAGTGCTCACAGCACCAGGGCTGAGGTGAAAGTGACAGATCTAACAACCTTCTTGAGAAATCAAAATTACAAACACACCTGTTGTTTGAAACACTAAACACATGAAAAGCTAACTCCATTTATGAAGTGCAAACTTTACAACAGACTTGACAACATCAAAGAAAGAGCTCTAGATGATCCCGTTCATGACACCAAGGTAGGAAAGGGAAGAAAGGACGTGGGACTTCAAATGAACAATGGAAAATAAATGGACATTAAACTTTTTCCATAAAACATACCACTTTATACATGGTGTGACAAAAATGAATATAGCTAATGACCTTCTGTAGGCCTGGATAATATTCTCTGGTGAAACCAAAGCCAAGTGGTCAGCATTAAAAATCAGTAAGGTAAGCATTCCAAGTTTACTAAACTATGACTTCTTACAACAAAGTATGTTTTAAAATGAAGTATATCTTTAAATTCCTTCTTTTTTCCCAAAAACCTAAATGTGACTTTCACCCGCCAAAAGGTCTCTAGTTCAGATCTGAAAAAGAAGCATGTGTTCACAAGTAAAAGCACCCAAAGAGCCCAGATTCCAAGTCACCACATGCCCCTGGCACCCAAGAAAGAGACTGATTTTGATTTAACAGTGTCTTTAAAGTTTCCATTAGCAATTCCTCATGAAACCAAATCACCAGTAAAAGCAAGAGACTCCCCAAATGCAAGAAGTTTGGCAATAAGGAAAAAAAATACACAATAAGATTATCCAACATAAACACATCATGATCTCAAACATAACAAGTTAAAACTCTCCAAATTCAAAACAATAACTACAGACTTACGCATCTAGAATTAAATAATTATATCTTTTAATTTAATCTGATACAAACATTAACCTCTCAACAAATGACCCAGAGGTTTTTTTAAAATTACACAGATCTTTATCATGGTATATGAAGCAACTCTATATAAGACATAACAACAATAAAATAACCTTTTAGAAACAGTGGCTATAGCAAATGAAGCTACACACCAGTATGCGCATTTGACCTAAGGAAAGCATCAAGTACTTGCTGTTACTGCTCAGTCCTACTTGAACACATCCTTAAGATTCAATAATAAATTGTTCAGTTTTCTTCCTAATTAAATGCTAAAGCCAAATGCTAAAATCTTGGTAACTGAGACGTGTAATGAAAGTGAAAATATCTTTCTTAGTTTGGCTGAGATACTTTCTTCCAATCCTCATAGAAGTGATCGTAATTATTTTCCCCTGGGGTTGTTTATTTATATCCTGAAAATGTAAATCCTTCTCCTGCACCAAAGATGTAGAACAAATCATAAAATCCTCACTGAAAAGTGCTTGGATGTATGTTATTTCAGTCCAGGGACAAAAGGACCATACACAGGAAGCTTCTCTATGAGCCGATGACAATCAGCTCTATAACAACACAGAAGCAGCTGAGAAAAGCCAAGACCTTCTTATAATCACATGGCTTACGCTACTTTGAACATCAAGCTACTCAGTTTCTGCTTGGCAAAATGCCTAAGGAAATTTGTAAATAATAATTCTTGTTGCCACTGGTAAATACCAATGATGATTTGGCTCAAAGTTAAGGGAGATGGACCACTGAAACCTCCTTTATTCCTGTTTTCTTGGCAGTAAAATGAGGATAATATCTGACCTCACTAACTGCCACCTATCACTGTTTGGGAAAAAAGAACAAAGGAATGAATGAATGACTGCTATTCAGTTACCCCCTATTATTCCCAATTCCTTAGATGGTCTTCAATTTGCATTTTTAAAAACAGCTGTGAGAATTAACAACTGTAGCTGCACTCACCTCCTTCTTGCGGTTTCTTAGCATATTCTGGAATTTGGACAGCTCCTTCTCTTGCTCTCCTTTGATTCGTTTAGCTTCATCTCGCAAGCGGTTCGTATGTTCTTGTTCTAGTCGTTCAATTGTCTGTTTCTGCTGCTTCTCAAGATTCTCAATTTCCTGGTCATATTGTCGCTTCTTACTCTGTGAACAATGCAGTCTGTTACCACTCTAATTCATCAAATAGTCAGGTAACCATGCAATTCTGAATAAGAAAGAAATTTGTATTCTAAAGTATGCAAGGAAGGAAAGAAAGAAGGAAGCTGAAGCCTGTGGTAGCTCAGGGCTCTAATTCTAGCACCTGAGAAATGGAAGCAGAAATGTAACACTATAGAGTGAGACACTGTCTCAAAGACACAACAACAACAGCAAACCCTCAAAAATAAAAGAAATTGAAATCGAAAAGGAAAATATTTCAGAAAAATAATCTATGGAGAGAAAAGACACAATTTCTAAAATTTTGAAAAACAGAATAAGAGAACTGCAAAAGCACTTAGTGAGAATACCTCTCATTATTTTCTTGGGAACCTGCTGTGGTAACCGAACACAAAATCAACCAAGCCACACAACACAAACAACAGTCCTCAACACTTACATTTCAAAGCTGCAAAGAATTACAATTTAAATTTCAATATTATTTTAAATTATCTTTTTTTTTCCAACATACTTTAAGCTAGATGTTGAACTGAAATTCTCTACCACATCCCTAACGAAATTCCCTTCCCAACTGTGGATACAAGTGAAAACTGGAGGCCTCAGCAACAAACGCCCCGCACCGCTTCCCACAGCAACAGTGAGTGATTTGGAGATGTAGGCTTAACTATAAGGGCCAGTGAAAAAAGAAAATTGTGAAAACCTGCCAACAAGTTCTGATACTCATCCAGCTTGAAAACAACTGCTCTAGACTGCCTTAGAACTTTAGGGTCTAAAGAGCATAGGCAGTATTCTACAAAATAAAGGTATAACAAAGGACTTTCTCAGTAGGACCCCATTTACTCATAGCAGTATTCTCCAAGATAAAGGTGTAACAAAGAACTTTCTCAGTAGGACCCCATTTGCCCATGAACAAAGGCCAACAATTGATAAGGGGGACTTCATAAAACCAAAAAGCCTCTAACATCTTAAAAGAAACAATCAGCTGAAGAGGAAACTCACAGAATGGGAGAGAATCCCTGCCTGGCCTAACTTGGACAGAGAATTAATATGCAGAATATATAAAGAATCCAAAAAACAGAGAGTCAAAAATAACAAACAACCCATTCAAATCTGGGCCTGAGACAAAACAGAGAGTTCTCAAAAGGAGGGGAAAAAAAGGAACTAAAATATTTCAATAAATGTTCATCATCCCTAGCAATTAGAGAATGCAATTCAAAACAACTTTGAGACTTCACCTTAGCACAATCAGAGCAGAAAAGACCAGTGGAATAACTGATGGCAAATGCTGCAAGAGATGTGGAGGAAAGGCAAACCCTCACTCACTGTGGGCAGCACTGCAAACTGCTGCAGCTACTACAGAAATTAGTGTGGAGAATCCTCAAAAAGCTAAAAGAAATCTCCCACAAGTCACAGCTATGCCACCTCTTGGCATTTGCCCAAAGGACTTGACAGACTTGCTACCTACTTGACAGATCCTGCCCACAGATACTTGCTCAACCATGTTCATTGCTGTTCTACTCACAACAGCTAGGAAATGGAACCACCCTCAATGTCCTACAACTGAGAAATGGATAATGAAAATGTGATACACATATACCATAGAATACTATACAGCTAGAAGAAAAAGTGAAATCATGGAATTTGCAGGCAAATGGATGGAAATAGAAAAGATTATACTGAGTGAGTTAACCCAGTCCCAGAAAGACAAACACACGTTTTCTTTCATAATAGCTCTTAACTTCAAGATTTGAGTGTGTAATCTGCAGTAATCCAGAAGCCAGGAAAGTAGTAAGGGACAATGGCAGAAGGAAAGGTACAACAGAGAGAATAGCAGGTAAATGCAATTAGAAGGAGAAATGGGAGAAATGGGGTTGGGGGAAGGTTAGGAGGGAGAAGTGTCAATATAGAAGAGGAAAGATAAGACATAACAGTAAGGATGCCTGGAAAAGTCATAAGAAATCATTATTACCTATTTATCTAAAATTACACATATAATAAATATATATATATATGTATATATATATGTGTGTGTGTATGCATGTATATATATGTGTGTGTGTATGCATATATATATATATATATGCGCATAATCTAAATGAAATCTTCCCCCTGGGCTGACAGAATGTCGTCCTGTCCCATCCCCCTCCCCCACCCACCCAAAAGCCACAGATGATCTAGCAAAAATGCTATTACCAGGCATCAGAAGCCCCCTTATGAGCTGTCAGTCAGGGGGGTCCAAGACTCCCAAAACATCAGTTATTGCTGCTGCCCTTGGTTGCCTCCCAGAGGTTGAAGGTAAGTTCCTGTTGTTGAAGACACCATATACTTCATACACACACAAAAATCCAAGCTGGATCTAACCTGAAAGCCTCCTCCCTGAGGGACTAGATTTTGTGGTACCAGAAGGTTCTGTGCAAGCTTACTCCTTGTCCTACCCAGTTATGACACCTATGAACTACAGGCACTGCACAATAACCACAGCAGCACTCATATTTTGGTGGTAAACAACAACTCTATAATTGAACTGAAGACTCACTCCACAAGAGAGAAATCATGCCTGGTACTAGAAACTTAGACAACCTACCTAGGGTAATGGATCTTGGAGGGGAACTTACAACCACCACTTTACAAAACCAGCATAATTCCTGGTTGTATTCTTTATACCTACAGATAACTGTAGCTCTCACCCCTCAATAACAAACAAAAATCTCTTTGCAACAGACGGAGAACATTACAGAAAACGATAACTAATTAGAATGCAGAGATCAAATCGTCATGTGGTGCCCAGCCCCAAAATGAGCCGTCTACAACACAACTCCTGCACCTAAGGCTCAGGAAACGTTGAGGGGTCAGAAAGATCACAAGAGCCAGAGGACCGGGATATCTGCTGTGAGACTGAGTCTCCTAGAAATGTTGGGAAAACTACACCCATGAGGTCTCAACAATATAGTTGCCAAAACAATTCCTGAAGCACCACAACATCAATAGATATGCTAGCATTGATGGCGCCTAACCCTAGACAAAGAAGTACAGGCAACTGAGGAGCTCTTCTCCCCAGGGAAGAGCCCTCCAATCGGTTATCTGATATGAAGTGGTCAGCTCTGAAATGATATACATAAAAGCAACATTATACAAACTCAACATGTTGTATTTATATATTTAGTAACACACACACAAATCAGCAATTAAACAAAAAGGTCTGAGACCATGAACTTAAAGGGGGAGAAGGGTGCCTGGGAGGACTTGGAGGGAGAAAGGAGAAAGGGAAAATTATTGTAAGCTGAAAGAGGAAACTGGAAGACTAAGGCAGCATTCCGTAATAGGCATATCTAAAAACCTGGTAAACAATCTACCAGTCTGCTAATATTAACTTTTCATGACAGATTGCAAATGAAACTTGGTACACTATAATGTCAGTAATAAGACAGAGACTGGAGACCCCTTTCAAGAAGATTTTGTTTTTTAAGAAGCATCCAAAACACCTCAGAAACAGGGGCTAGAGAAATACACCACAAAACCAGGAAAAATCTCATCATCAGACAGCAAATTCCATACCCTAGAGCTGTTCCTAAAACACTGCATTTCCCTTGTTGACAAAATAACACAGAATCAAAGACTTCACCATCATCTCCTGCTCAAAGCGCCTGAAAATCTGCTCCCGCTGCTGCTGCAGTTTGCCATTGAGCTGCTGCTGGGCCCTCTGCTCCTCTTTCTGGAGAAATCTCAGCTCTCGAAGTTCCTGACGTCTGACAAAGTGGAACAGAAAGAAGCAAATTATACTCTGGAGTAGTACTTTTATTATTTTAAACATTTAAAATCAACTTACTCTTGTTTCTCTATTCTACATAGTTTTCACAAACAGCAAAGAAGTTTAAATTCATGCTAATTATATACTGTTTCTCTACTCACCTGAGAAACCGCAATTCCTCAGTTTTGGAGTCACTATCTGTAACTATCTTTGACGTTGTAACACTCACTTCTACACCATCAACAATAAATTTGCGTGTTTTCTTCAATGTTTTCTTCTGTCTTCTTGTCTCCTGAGTGAAATTTCATTTGGGTTAGGTTTTGTATAAATACTATACATGGAAGATATTTTCCTCTTTAGAAATAAAAAATGCCTGGACAGCCTGAATACGACACATATAAAGCAGCATGACTCACCTGTGTAGCAGTTACGTCATACTTAAGCTGAGAACTTTGCAGACGGAAAAAAAAAAAAACTTTTTAAGTGAAATCAGGCACTGTGGCCATATGCATACACAACTCTTACAACACTACATTATTAGGTACAGCAGTAATAAAAATCCCATATAAGCAAACAGGATGACTTTTACATATATAACTTTTCTTCCTCTTTCACTATTTCAGGCTCTCACTGCTACATTTTACACTGGTAAATACATTAAATACGGAGACAATTACTTGGTTTACTGGGGGGGAGGGGACGCGCAGAGTGAGGGAGAAAGCCAAGGGAGTCCAGCACTCAGGAGTTTGACAAGAGGTTGGGTGCTCCACAACAAGACCCTGTAAAGTTAGGAAGAGAGGGAATGAAAGAAAGAAAAAAGTGTGTAAGGAGAAAGTGAGGATGAAGAGGAAGAGAACAGGGGAAAGGAGGAGACCAGAGGGGGAAAAGGGAGAAAAGGAGCACAGAAAATTGACAGTGGAAGAAAAGGCACTAAATTAAATGTTTGCCTCTGACACCTGTGAGCGACCTCTCACTTCTCCATCCTCTGGCTCCAGGGTCCTCATGTTCCCCTCAAACCTCAACTAGGGCAGCCTCCCCAGCAGTCCTCTAAAATCTAACACTGACATGCTTTAAAAAATAAATGCACCTTCCTTAACCTACAAACTTCACAAGTTTCTTCAGCTTCTACAATAGGGTATGTAGCATTAATATTCCCTTAGTTCTCAGAGAAGTACTTAGGGTAGGAGAGAACTGACTCCCACAGTTGTCCTCGCTATGGCACACATGTGCCCCCACACATAAACATTCAAAGTTATAAGTAAACTGTAATGTAAAGAAATACTATTTTATTATATATTGACCCTCAGGAGCCTCCTAGGCCTCTACATAACTGCCCAAGTGACTCCTAGGTAACAAGACTGGAGAATTATGCTCAATGGTTCCAAGTACAGGGCAGTATTTGAGGGTTTGTTTTCTCCATTATGCTTTTGGCAATATCAATGGCTAGGAACCAAGAAACAAAGGTGGACTACTTTACTCATACCTTAAAACGCTGTTCAAAGGAGACAATTCAGTTTCTCATTCTTTGGGGTAGCAGTAACGCTTGCTAAAACTGCAGATATGTGCAAGAGAAACTAAATGAGACCAAGAAACTGTCCTGTCCTGTGTATCTACCCAAGTTTGCAAAAGTCAGTAGGCTCTACCAAAAATCTTTAAAGATTATTCCCAGAATCTCTCTCTCAAGTTCATTTTGGTTGCCTTATGATCCCAAAAGAATTAATGAGGCTATTATTATACAGACTTAATAGTGTTTTAAGATAGCAATGAACTAGAAATTACCAAAATGACAAGGCAAAAAACAAGCAAGCAAGATCCCAAGCACACTTACTTGTAGTGACATTGACCCACTGTCTTTAGTTTTGCTTAGGAAGCTAGAGATGGACAAATTCAAGTCACTGCTGCTCTTCTCCACAGTGGACCCAGTCCCTGAGTCAGTGTCATTTTCCTTTTCATTTTCAGGCTCTGGTGGCAGAATGCTTTCAGTTTTTGGTAAATCACCCAACTCTCCTTTATTTTCTGTGTTTTCAGAGTTAATATTGATACTGGGTATTAGGATAAGATGAGGCTCGTTGGACGGTGAGGCTGCAGGAGCTTCGGGCTCTGCTTTCACTGGTACTTCCTGTGCAGCTTCTCTGCCCTCCAACTCTACCTCAGCAGCAGCGGCCACAGCTTCACTTCCTGGAGTCTGTTCCTCAGCACCACCAGACACTGGGCTTGGCTCTCTCTCCTCAGTGCTATGTGACTCACTAACTTGCTCAACTTCATCTGTCCCTGGTTCCTCAGGGGTTGCCTGTGTGGTCACGGAAGTGCTGATGAACTGTCCGTCACCTTCACACACCGCAGACTGTTGATGTAGCTCTTTATTCTCAACTCTTCCTTGAGCAGAAGGCTCTTCCTCAGCACTGCCAGCCTCAGGGCCCTCTGTGGGCTTCTCGGTTAACTTCTGGGTTCCTTCCACTGCTTCCTTCCCATCAGCACTCTGTGCATCCTTGATGCTGCTGCCTTCAGCAGCCTTCTCAGCAACATCTAGTGCCTCATTTGCCACTACCTCACTGATTCTATCATTAATTACAACTTTTTGAGTGTTATCATCTTTTCTCAGTTTCTCCTGACCATCTGCTTTTGTAAACCCAACTTCACTGTCAACTGCCTGAAAGTCTGCCTCTGTTTCTCCGGTCTCTTGAGAAACTAAGTCCATTGTTTGAATATTCATATCTTTAATTTCTTCAGACTGTCTAAGTTTATTCTCAGGTATCTCTTGGTTTTCTTTTTCTCGGTCTTCCTCTGGTTTCACATGGTTAGTGTTCATCTCTAAAGTCACTATATTCTCCTCATTTCCTTCACGGACTGAATTAATATCCACCAGCTGTTGGTCTTCTGTGTCAGGAGGATTCTCCAGTTTGGGTCTCTTCTCCCTCCCATGCTCATGGATTCCTACTGTTTGGTCACTGAGTTCAGCCATAGATTCCAAGTTAGAATCACCCATATGCTCATTAACACCCTTCAGTGCCTTTCCAGGTTCATCAGTGGTGGGTCTTTCATTAAGAACTTTATTGCTAAATTTATCCCCAGGAGTATTGTGTTCTATTCTTTCTGAAACAGATTCCAAAATGCAAGCATTTTGTGAAAGTTTATCTTCTTCAGAGCTGGCAATACTGAGGTCAGAGGAGGCACGTTTATTTGCAGGTATTGGCTAAAAAAGATTTTATACATCATTAGTATTAAAATATAACCACAAGATGGTCATCCAAGTGGCTTCATATATCTATACTCATATGGGAAATATTTAAGCTATATTCTATGAAACTTAAAAATAACTATAAAAAATGACAGTCTTCAATAATAAGCATGATGAAAATAGGTGACAAGAGAAACTTTGTTGCCAACTTCACTTCTAAAAGTGAAGGTATGTGTTCCCCTCATTTGTTACCCCTCAGATACATGTGCAACCACATCTCAAAACCCATCTCTAAAACTTGACTAAATAAAATATCCTTCATGACACTGACCAGAGCATTTTCTGTTTCCTCATCATCATCTTCCTCTTTGCCGTCTTCTACTTCTTCTGTTACTTCAGCCTTTGCCTCAGCAATCAATTCTCGGACTGGTTTGTTGGAATCAACAGTAACAAAGGGATGCTGTTAATCATAAAAAAGGCATGCTCAATGACAACTGAAATGCTTAAAATTTAAACACATACATAGGTCCATTGTGTCAAAAGCATGAATTATGAACATGAAAAACATACACAACTTCTTAGGTTATATATACCTAGAAAGAAAGAGAGGGAGAGGAGAGTGAGCAAAAGTAAAGACTGTCTGAACTGGATTTTATTTTGTTTTATACAATTTATTTTTTATTTTTAATAAAACTTCATTATTCATTTAGTGTGTATACATGTGCATGTGGAGGTCAGACTTCACAAGTTAGTTTTCTCTACTGTGTGGGTCATGAAGATCAAACTGAGTTTGCCAGGCTTGATTGCAGGTCCCTTTACTGAGCCATCAGACAGAACCTATGTTTTCTTTCATTTGGTAATTTGAAGGAATTTGCCAAAAATTAAAACAACTTGTTATGGCTGAGTAGAAATTATATTTGTTTTTTGTGTATGTTTGAGAGTTTCATAAATAATTTTTAAATTAAAATTTAAACCAAGCTTTAAATTTAGGCATCACTTCTTTAAAACTAAAAGAGGCCAATGAGACAGCTCTGTGGGTAATAGTTCTTGCTGCCAAACTAATGACCTACCTAAGTTCAGTCGGCAACCAGATAGTGGAAGACGAGAACCAACTCCTGAAAATCTTCCCCTGACCACCACACACACACTGTGGCATGGAAAAGTAAGTGTGCACACACGCACAAACACACAATATTTTTATATTAGTATCTATATAAATCCCATCGAAGTGTTAATAAAAACTCTACAGAGCCCTTTATATTTTTGTTAAAAAGTATCTACAAATTCCTGTTTTGCTCTGTTAAATGATTCTAACATTAGGTAAAGACATTTCACTCATCTTTGTGCTCTCAACTCATAACAGTGTCTATGTGATGGCAATTCTTGGTTGTCAACTTGACCACATCTGAATTAGCCAGAATTCTAGCTGCTGGGGTTACTTGTGAGGAATTTTTCTCGACTGAATCATTTGAAATGGGAAGCCCTACCCTAAATCCAGATCTTCTGAGGTGGGATGATCCTCCTCCTACTGGCAGCAGATACAATGAACATGGAAGAAGGAAGCTTCGCTCTTTGCCTGTAGGCCCTCACTCTCTCTGACAAGTCCCTCCCCTCACTAACATTAGCACCTACTTTTGGGGGATTCTAGGACATACTGAAGACCACCTGAGACATCCAGCCTCATGGACTGAACAACTACTTGATTCTTGGACTTCCCTTCAGGAGACAACCATTGCTGTAATAGTCAGACCATAACCTGTAAGCCCCTCTAACAAAGCCTGTTTGTGTATATAGAGATGAATTCTATTGACTCTGTTTCTCTATAGAATGCTAACTAATACAGTCTGTTACAGGCTAATATCTTCAACTAGAGGAGCAAGGAAATACTGGGAAGTATGCATTAGGGACACAGAGACAGACTTGTTGAACACAGCAGGCAATTTTTGCCACACCCTCTCCTCAGATAGACAGGTCAGTCTAAAACATTACCATACTGGCCTTACAGCAACTACCCTCATGTTTGTTTTTTTATTTATCTATAATATTATTTGGAACATTTTCCCGCTTTAAAGTATAATTAAACTGATCTAACCACCTTTTATCACGTGTGTGCATGCCTGTATGTGGTGACCACGTATGTGCAGTGCACATGTGCGTGCAGAAACATTCTTTTAGAGACACTGTTAGAACAATGTGACCTGTGTTTTCATACTCTCTTCATCTTACCTGTAATAACTGAGATGTAGTCCACCGGGCATCCACATTCTTTTCCAAGCACTTCTTTAGAAAGTCCTTAAAATTTGAAGACCTGCAGAATAAAAGGTCATTGTTGACATTTTATTTTACTTTCTGGTTATTAAAAAAATCAAACTAAATTCCTTAATAAATTATGTTTAGCTTCATTGTATTGAATATAGATTAGTATTGATTTAGTATGACAAGAAAACTAATGAGAACAAGATTTTATGAAACATTCTTTAAATACGTTAGACATACATGAAATAAGGCACACACGAGATCATGAGAGGCAGCCATATTTCAAAATGTTACAAAATTGTTACACGAAGTTCTACAAATACACATCAGCTGTCTATGGGTCTAACTGTTTCCAGCACAGAAAAACATCTTCTCTACACAGACCCAGTTCATTCACACTGTCTAACTCAGGGAAAATGATTTACAATGGTTTCTAGGATCCTTAAGTCTTTCTCAGGTATCTGTACTTTGTGAATAGATGTGAGCACCTGCATTTATTCATACACCAAGTGTGCTCCTAGTACCCACAGAGGCCAGAAGAGGGCATCAGATCCCCAGGTCCTGAAGTACGGCCAGTGGCTAGTCATCATGTGGACGCTGGTAACTGAACTGAGGTCCTGTACTCTACAAGAGCAGCCAATGATCTTCATCACTGAGCCACCCCCCACCCCCAGGTCCTTAAGTCTTGGAAATAGACCCACATCAGTTTCCTCATTCACAGTCTTGGTGCCACATCCCCAAACTTAAAGTTACCCTTAGCAAACTATAAGAACAGAACTTTGTTTAAAAGAGCTTACCATTTTGATGGCTGTGCTAATGTTGGGGGTTCAGATTTTGCTATTTTTAGCAACACTCGCATTGGATTTAACTCATGGTGAGGTGGCTCTATCTCAGCCATTTCTATTAAAGTAATACCCAGGGACCAAACGTCAGCTTTATAGTCATAAGGTCTGTCCTTTGATGTCTCACACATGACTACTTCAGGAGCCATCCTATGAAGGCAGAAAAATGAAAAAGGTAAGACTTTTAATTAACAGTTATGCCAACTACAGTCAAAATAATGACTATGTGTGAACAAAGTAATAATTGCAGACCCAAGTAATAGTATAAATTCATAAAAATGAATACCTACCAATATGGTGTGCCAATAAAGGAATCCCTCCTTTGAATTGTCCTGGTGTTTTTAGCTGACACTCCAAAATCCGCTTAAAATAAATAATCATACAATAACATTAATGACAGCTTTTAAGCATGGTACATTGCATCTAATGGAGTGGGAGGGGGGAACAATTCAAGTCTTAGTAAGACCTACCTTATTAAAAGGTAAGCACAACAGAAAGAGAAATGATTTCTCTGCCATTCTAATTTTTTTAATTTTTGTGTGTATTGTATAGTGGATACATGTGTTCATGTGTGCATGCAGGGGTGTATGCATACATGCTCATCAAGTTCAGAGGTTAATGTGGGGTGTCTTTCTCTACTGCTCTTAACCCTTTGAGACATGACGACTTCCTAGTGAACTTGGAGCTTACCATGTAGGCTAGAGAGCACTAGGATCCCTGCCGTCTCCAGCAACCCAGCACTACGGTTACAAGCATCCAGCACAAGCCCAGTTTTTACATGGGTTCTTGGGATCCAGAATCAGGGCCCCACTTCACCCACTGGGCCATCTCTCCAGCCCCTACCACTTTAATAGTAACCATCATCACAAACACACTGACAGCCATCTAGATACATCTTCAAATGATAATAATAGGCAAATTCCTCAGAATTGAAAACAAAAAAAAAATTGTCACTTTAGATTAAAACAGTATATGCACTTCAAAATAAATGCCAAATGTTGTATGCTGCAATTAAATCAATGGAGATAGTGTCCTATAGTGTGATAAAACAGAAATTACAGCAAAATAGCCTTTATGACAGCATTCTATCTCCTCAGTGTCCTCATAAAATTATACCACAAAAGCTGTACATTGTGGTGTACACCTACAATCCCAATACATGGGAGGCTAAGGCAGAAAACTCAGGAATTTTAAGCTATTCTGGGTTATATAGTGAGATTAACTTTCCTTTGGTATAAAAGACAAAATTAAATGGTAGTCCTTAAACTTATTTTACTTTAAAACCTAAGGTTTCTCGTCCGTTTAATTAGGATATCAGTAAAATAAAGTAAGTAACTGAGGATGGGGTTTAGTTCAGTGATAGAGCACTTGCTTACAAAGTGCAAGGCTCTGGGGGAACAATGGAACAAAAAAAAAATCTATTAGATATGTTTCAATAAAAATAAAATTGAGCTTAGTATTATATTACATTATATTCCAAATACAAAGCATTTACAAGTATTAATTCTATATTCAAAAACTCTTACTAGTGTTTTGCAAATCTCTGTTTCTGAAAATAAAACACACAACCTTTTGCTTCCTTTATGTGTCATTAGGTGCATACACTTAGGAATTCTAAGAACTGGGGAATGTTTAACCGCTGAAGTGTTTACAAGAGCAATTGGGAGTAACTCTCCCTGTTTTACATGTCTGGGTAAGATTTAAAAAAAAAGCCATTACATTCCAGGATCTCAGAGCACAAATTCAAATGTTTGAGTAACTTACCCAATTTAATGTCTCCATCTAAGGTAAAAAGAATATTGCCAGCTTTTAGATCTCTGTGGATGATTTTATTGTCATGTAAGTAACTCAATGCCTCTAAAGTCTGCTTGCAAACTACTTGGATTTGGGACTCAGTTAATGGCCTCTCAAGTTCTATGAGGAGAAAGTGAAAAAATACATTATGTATTTTTATACAATGAAAACATAAAGATAACTAAATATTTTCAGTACATTCTATCACTGTGATCTTGGCAAAGATCATTTATTATAAAAGCTAAATTTCTACAATTTCTTGGCATAGAATAGTCAACATTATACTTCAGAATTATATTTATCTAAAATATAATGAAGTTGATTTCTTAATGCACTGAACTCTGAAATTACATATATGTATACATATGCGAACAATTTAAGAAGAGGTCCTCACCAAGCATCACAGCATCTACTGCGCCCCCTGCACAGAACTCAATGAGGATCTGCACACAAACAAAAACAAGTGTCTGTGATTACACCAACTGTCAGCAAGTCAGCAAAGACAGGTAAATGAAAAGCTAACTGGTTTATCTAGGTTACAGGAACAGTGCCATGCTAAACATGAAGGATTCTTGTCATCAGTTACATCATAAGTGATGCCCTCTAAGCAAGGACAAGGACAACATGCTATAGGAGGAGGACACCCCATCTCTCCTTTCCTCCTCCTCTCTGTTTACTTTTGGACTCGGGTTTTCCTTTAGCCCAGGTTAGACTCAGATATGCAATCCTGCCTCTGACTCCAAAATTCTGATGACAGGTATGTTTCACTAGACCCAGCCATGCCCAATTTTATAAATAACAAATTTTAGTATCCTTTTCTAAAATTACCAAATATATGTTTAATTATTACAATATTAGTTGCACATACAAAAGATTTTTGAGACAGGGTTTCTCTGTGTGGCTTTGGAGGCTATCCTGGCACTCGCTCTGGAGACCAGGCTGGCCTCGAACTCACAGAGATCCTCCTGCCTCTGCCTCCCGAGTGCTGGGATTAACAAACAGTGTAATTCCATACATCTTCCTTCTCACTAAAAATTTGTTTTGTTTTGTTTTTGAGACAGGATCTAGCTACTGGCTACTCTGTGAAGAAATGAAAATTACGTACCCAAAGATTGTTCTCATAATAGAAGGCATCTAGAAGCTTGACTATGTTTGGGTGATCACAAGATGCTAATATGTCAATCTCAACCATATAATCTTCAAGTTCTTCTTCAGATTTGGTGTCAATCACCTTTGCAGCAGCCAAAACATTGGTCTCTTTATTCTGGGCCTGAAAATGAAAGTATCAGAAATGTCTGTCACATTTTAAATGCTTGCTTTCACATTTTAATTTAAGAAAATGTTTAGTGTCACAGCAACACCAAGCAGTAGCACAAAGTTCCTTTGTGTCCCCCACAACCCCAGCTCACACCCTGCACCATCCTGGTACATTTGCTGAAGCCAATGAGCCTATATTCACACAGCACTATCCCTTCCACGCCCAGCTCACATTAGAGCTCAGGCTACAGGTGCTAACAAATGTGTAATGAATGCAGCCACCATCTGATCACCCTCTGTGCTGACTCTTCACCTCGACCTCCCCTGACTGCTGGCAACCACTCATCTTACACTACCTCCTTGGTTCCACCAGTTCCAGAATGGCATATAGAATCACAGACTTTTCAGATTGGCTTTATGTGTATTTTAGTTATATATATATTTAAAGTCCTTGTAGGTCTTCTCATGGTATGTCCTTTCTTCCTAGTGCTGAATACTCTCTTCCACTGCCTGAATATCTTTCACCTAACTAATGACATATGCTATTCCCAAGTTTGGAAATTAAGAATTACCATGTAGGTGAAGGTTACAGTATGGATGGTTTTCATCTTATTGAGTATTTACCAAGCAACATAGCTGCTGGAACATCCAGTGGGCTTAGTTTTGCAGAAAACTGCCACACTGAATTCCAAAGTAGCTGTGTCATTTTGCATCCCTGCTGGTGATGAATGAGAATACTGCTCCACATCCCAATGGTGTCTGCATAATTACCAACAGTCTTATGGGTGTGTTTCAAATCATGATTCCCTACAGACATATGTGGGACATCTTTGAAGTGCTTACTTGTGCTCTGTAAATCCTCTTTGGTGAGGTAACTCTTCATGATTTTATTTTTTTTTATTTCTAATTATTGAGTTTTAAGAGTTTTCAAACCTTTATCTGATGTTTTCTGCAAATATTTTCTCCAAGCCTGTGGTTTCTCATTCTATTACATGCTATTTTTAAAAGGGAACTTAAACATAAATATTAATTATGCAGGCTTGGTGAGGTAGTTTTCACCTGCAATTCTAGCACTTGGGAAGCAGAGATAGAAGAATCAACACTAGTTTGAGGTCAGTTCAGTCTACATAGCAAATTCCAAGCCAGCAAGAACTACAAAGCAAGAACCTGTCTCAAAGAATAAATAAATCCTACTTGCTATGCAAAGGGCTAAGTTCTTCCGTGCTTTCCATTGAGGAAGACAGCCCTCACTGCCCCAGTGGTTCAACTGCTAGGGGCTCACATGCTGCTGCTGCCAGTTCCAAGCTATGTTGCTAACAGCAACTTTTTAAAAATCCCTATTTTAATTCCATCATTAGGTAGTGAAATCTACCTAAGCTTTGCAGGTTTGTGAGAACTAAGATAATACGTATTAACTATGCTTAAAATACATACAAGCATTTAATGTAACTGACATATATAGTAAGAATTCAAAAGTATTAGCTATAATTATTATTGTTATTTAATCCTTAGAATACCAGATATTATTACCCCTGCTTCAAAGGAGAATATAAACAGGAGTGGTGGTTTAAATGAAAACAGGCTCTTAATGAGTGGCACTATTAGGTGGTGTGGCTTTGTTGGAGGAAGTGTGTCACTGAGGGTCAGCTTTGAGGTTTCAAATGCTCAAGCCAAACCCAGTGTTGCTCTCTTCCTGATGATCCAGATGTAGAACTCTCAGCTCCTTCTCCAGCACCATGTCTGTCTGTGTGCCACCATGCTTCCCGCCATGACGATAATGGACTAAACCTCTGAACCTGTAAGCCAGCCCCAATGAAATGTTTTCTTTACTAAGAATTGTCACGGCCACAGTGTCCCTTCACATCAGGGACACTGGGTCTGGTGGCTTACTAGTAAGAGGCAGAATCAGGACTTAAAACCAGATGTTTCCAAGCCCATTTTCCACACAATCATTATAAGAGTACTCCAAGTACATCACTCTGACACAGGGTTACTTCACATGCAAAAGGACAATTCTCACAGCCCCCATTCCTGGAAACAAGGGGTTCTTTTTTTTTTTTTTTTAAAGACAAGCAAGAGAGATGTCTTTTCTCTGCACACCAAAGGAAACATCTTTTCTATTTTTTTCTTCTTTTTTAAAAGATGTATTGTTTTCATGTGTGTGCCTGTAAGAGTTTCCATACACTACATGTGTGTAGGAAGCCAGAGGGGAACACTGGATTCCCAGGAGCTGAAGTTACAGGTGTTTGTGAGCCATCATGGTAGATGCTAGGAATTGAACCTAGAGCTTCTTTTTTTTCCCAGACAGGGTTTCTCTGTGGCTTTGGAGGCTATCCTGGAACTAGCTCTTATAGACCCAGGCTGGACTCAAACTCACAGAGATCTGCCTGCCTCCGCCCCTTGAGTGCTGAGATTAAAGGTGTGCGCCACCACTGCCTGGCTGAACCTAGATCAGAACAGGAAACTCTTAACCACTCAGCCATTTCTCTAGCCCCCAAAGAACATTCTTAATACAAGCCACAGCCCAGAGAATCCAACAGATAGACCTTGTTTTTGTAATCTCTGTGAATCGAATCATTTGTCTAGCTTTCCACAACTGCCTTTGTTCAACCCAAGATCCAAAACATATGTTACCATTTCTTTGAGTCTTGGTTCCCTTACAAGGTTCCATGTTAAGTAAAATTTCTGTGAAATTTGTATGCTTTTCTCCTAATAATTCACCTTCAATTAATTTGATTCTCAGATCCAGTCAGGACCCTAAAAGAGTACAGGTTAAGTTCCAACTTCTCCCCGTTTTCTGTATTTCCACCTGTGATTTTTTTTTCCTTGTTCTATTTACTGTTTTCCATTTTTACCCTGTGGTTAAATAATTTCTCACCTCCAATGTGTACACATTAAAAGTTTTAACTAAGTAATAGGGGCCCAGATCTGGGTTTGCTGCGGCTGTTGTTGTTGTACTGTTAATTACCTTTTATTTAATCTGTCATGTGAACATTTGCCATGGCACACATGTGCAGGGCAGAGGACAAGTCTGGAAGTCAGTTCTCTCCTGGCATGTAGCTCTCATGAACTGAACTTATTAGGTCACCAGGTTTTGTGAAAAGTGTCTAATGTTGGGTTCACTCAACCCAAGATCATTTTTTTAAAAGTTAGGAATCAGACCTTGTTTTTATTAGATTTTTTAATATGTGTTATTTTATAAAAACTGCACCATTACCTCTAAAAAACAAAATGATGAGCTTTTTTTAAAGATTTATTTATTATGTGTACAGTATTCTGCCTGCAAATACGCCCACAGGACAGAAGAGGACACCAGATCTTGACAGACGGTTGTGAGCCTCCATGTGGATGCTGGGAGTTGAACTCAGGTCCTCTGGAAGAGCAGCCAGTGCTCTTAACTGCTGAGCCATCTTTCCAGCCCATGATGAGCTTTTGAAAACTAAAAATCATTTCTTGGCCTCTCAGGTTAAGACCAAGTGTGAAAACTACTAACAAATATGTAAATAAACACATTTTCAAACCCTACTTTTTACAAGTCAGGTAGTGGTGAGCACCTTTAATTCCAGCACTTTGGAGGCAGAACCAAGTACAACTCTGTGAATTCAAGGCCAACCTGCCCTACATAGTTCCAGGACAGCCAGAGGATCATACATAAAAGACAATGTCTCAAAAAAACAAAACAAAAAAAAAAACCTACTTTTTACAATTTATCGTAAGAATCACAAGAACACAATTTCAAACCAGGAGGTATAAGAACACTAATTTAAGCCTTTAATCCCAGTATTTGGAAGGCAGAGGCAGGTGGCTCTCTGTGAGTTGGAGGCCAGCCTGGTCTACACAGTGAGTTCCAGGACAGCAAGGGCTACACAGAGAAACCCTGTCTCAAAGAAAAGAAAAGAAAAAAAAAAAAAAACACACACAATTTCATACAATAAATATTCATACATAAAAATAATATCAAAGCACTATTTACAATTTACAATGATGCTAGAAAAACTGACTAGCCTAACAAGAACCCCTTTAAGTCACATAGTACAGTTTTAAAATGGAAACTCAGCCACTAAGATTGACCAATCAATTAACATTTCTTAAATGGTAGCCATACCACGTGGCTGAGTGAAAAAACAAAAAAGTATAATGAGTATATAATGTTCCCATTGGAGGCTAGGCACACCTGCAGAAAGATCACAGACATGCACACTGATGACTTCACAGAAAGATCACAGACATGCACGCTAATGACTTCACAGTGAAGATGGAGGCTCCTGACTTTGGATATTTATCAAAGTATTTGAATTCTTTTAATAGACACCCATTCTTTCTACTAAAAAAAAAAAAAATAGTACACTGGAGATTTCTCAGGGAAGGTAAAAGTAAACAAAGAGGGTATCAGCTTCCATATGGAAATTTCCTAAGTAGATTATTGCTAAGTTTTATTTCCTTAAGGAAAAGAACAGATACTACTACTAAGGTGTAGGGGTCAGAAAATATGTTTTAGATAAAAAGATTGCTACGCAGGTCAGCCTTACTACTCTGACACTCTAGATACCCTAATCCATCAAATCTTTTCCAACCTAGGATTCTTTTTAAGATGTGAAAAAATAAAGTGGAGTATACTAGTATATGCCTGCATTCCCAGAACTTGGGAAATGAGGCAGGAGGATTCTTCCAAGTTGGAGGCCAGCATGAGTTACATAATGAGTAACAATCCAAACTATACCCTATCTCAAAAATAAAAGCCAAATAAAAAGATGTGCTATTATTTTCTGGACCAAAGAAGAAAATACTAATCAAATTTTGCCAAGAATCCAGAATATTTCTTCCAAATTGCTACTGTGTATCCATTACCCCTGTGAATATATGAAAATGTAAACTTGACTCCTCTGAATTACATTTGACTGACCATTACCTGATGTTTGTATTTCCCACATACTATCACTATCATCCTCTAATCATTAAAAGCTTTCGTAATGAGGCATTTGGCTGGGTGGCTATGTGGCTGGGTGATTAGTT